AATGAGCAACGTCAGCTTCACCATTAGAAGTGGAAACCAAGTTTTGAGCAATGCATTAATTTCACCAAAATAAGCTTTAGGGCTAAAGAATTATTAATCACCAAGTCAGTCAAATGCAATGAAATAACGAATCCAGTAATACAAACGAAAATGTGTTCCTATGTACAATGGATCAAAAGAAAAAAAATATATATATACACAAACAGGTTTTGGGTAAGAACGAACAAAAACTAAAATGCTAACTGAAGTAAATATTAAACTACCAATTCATAAATTACAGTTTTCTATAGGGAATTAGAAAAATTACTAGATAAAAACTGATTATATCTTCCAGATTAAAAATGTGAGTTTGGGGGGCTTTTAAGACATACATTTTACAAAAGAATAAGCCCAAAGATCCTCTCGCACCCCAGTCTTGGAAGATATCTCGTTTACCTAAAAAGAAAAAAAAATTCTGAGTTTCATGGCTAACACCTTTCAGTGTGGTTCCCAAAAACAAGACTACTGTGTACTTAAAAGAATGGCATTACATTATGTGAGTGATGAGGCACGTACTGCCACACAGGGAAAAAAAATATTTTCCATAGTATAAATAGATACTTGTTCAAGAAAATGGTTCATGAAAACTACTGCTGCCATCTAAACTGGTGCAGCAGGTTCAACAACATGATTCCAAAAGAAGCTTTTTCAGAGTAAGTCTGTCACTATAGCACATAGGCTAGCCCAATAGCAAAATTCCCAAGCCATTTCATATTTCTCTGTCAGTTCAGCCCTACAAATAACCTTAAATCTCCCCATTAGTGAAGGCAGCGGACAATCACTTCACAGAGAAAAGATGTGAGGGGAAGGGGAAGGGGGAGGAATCCATCCATATCTTGAGAACTTCTTTCCAGGGCAGCTTGGCAGAGGCCTGAGATACACTCAGAGAAAGGGGGGCTATAGAAGAAGGTAGAGCAATGGTAGAACCAATAATTCAAAAGTGTAACAAACATACGTTTTTAGGGGGCAATTCAGCCTGCACATAGAAGTGATCTCAGAGTAAGCATGGCTTGGATTACGAAATATTACTATCAACCTTGGAACAACATCTTTTACTGCTACTGCCCTTGAACCCAGTCAATATTTGTTTGACAAATAGTGACTATTAATATAATTTCAAAAAGACAGGCTTAACAGCAGTGCCAGGTTTGCTAGCTCTATAATTCATATTCGTTGCTATTCTTAGGCAAGATATTCAATATCAATGAGATATTGAATGACATGAGAAATCAACTCCGAGGACAATGTCTTTCTTCTATTATTAATTTCTTTCTCTAGATGTTGAGCTTTCTCAGGTTTAATTTCAGCTTCAAACTGTATTCAACTTACTTTGCCAAAGCAAGAATGTTGAGCACAAATGATTAGCAAAACATCTGAAAAGCTTGTTTCTAAACTTCATGGGAGATCAACTCTCATATTTCAGTAAAGGAATCAGCAAGAATCTCCTACTCCATGTTACAGCACTGCCTAATTTGCTAGGTGCCTCATGGTAAGCTACTGTCTGTTTTGTAATGGAGGTACCTTACCTCATGTCTTAGATGCTGCAAAGTTGATTAGCCTGACATTACATCAGCAAGAACCAAGTATGATTGCTACTACTAATGAAGACCATAATAGATATTCTATCACATTTTTCTAGATTTTGTAGCAACAATAAGAAATATAAGACAGACTAGTGCTCTGGTGCAGAGCATAAACTGTCATATTTGAAAGCTCTGTTTCAGCATGGGTATAGAAGCAGTATTTTCCCACCACTAAAGAGGAACTGTGGGCCTGGCCCTAAACCATTAATAAGGCTTATTTGGCTCTTTTCTACATCATTTTCCTCTTAATTTCAAATCACTGCAACCTCCCAGCAAAGGTGAAACACTGGAAGATGGCCAAGATTTGTCAGAGTAGAACACCCCAGCTGTACCTTGTTTTCTTCTAATCCTAACCCACCTTTTCACACTCTTGATTTGGATCTTGGATTAAATACTCCTGCCAGAGTAACATAAAGCTGCTGCAGGAGATCCTAGCAGGCACCTTATTTGGAGGAAGTGAGAGCTCTCCATAAGCTACCAGAGGTCAGGGATGCCAACAATGATGTTTCATTAAGAATAATTGCTGCCAAAAAAAGGAAAAAAAGAGAAAAAAAAAACATAAAGACCTTCTACCCTCACAGCTTCCACATTCAGTGTAAACTGCCCTAGAGAAGGTTTTTGTTTTTTTTTAAATAAAAAGACAAAAAGATCAGAACACAAATAATTATAACAAAAGTAGGATAAAAGCAAGTGTCTTCTAAAAGAAAGGCAAAAACTATTCTCTTGTTTTAATCCCTTGTTAATAGTGCACTACAGTAACTTTACAGAACCATCAATGATGATATCACAGTCTATAACCAATAGCACAAGACCAGTAAAAAGTAACCAAAAAATTGAGTCATTTTAGTGTTCTGCTTTAAGATGATTTTGCTACAGATTTAGGATGACCCTTGTAAAGGGGATACAGTAAAGATTATTATAAGCAGCCATCACCATTAGCTAAAGTCAGCAATCTAGAACATGATTATGCAGCTAAGGAGTCCAAATGAATCAAGATATATGCTTTTAAGAGGGTCTCACAGCAGAAAGTGGTACTTGATATAAAACAAACCTTTGCACTACACAACAACATTTCTGAACAGTTATAAGCTTAACATCAGAAGAAATACCTCCTGGGTGGGGAAACAAACAAAAAAAAAAAATCAACACACACAACGCACAAAATTTCTCTATTTACCTGCAATTGGAATCTGAGCCAAGGCCTCTGGAAGTTAGAACTATTGGAACACCGAGATTTAACCATTCCTCAAAGAAATCCATGCATTCCAAACTGGTACTCATGGGAAATAAACAGTGTGTTTCAGGAACACTAGTTCCCGAAACTGGGGTAAGTCAAAACACAGTGAAAGAAGAGAAAAGGATAAAAAAAGCATGCGGTTGATAAAATTTCAATCCACAAGCAGCACCATATGGAGCTGCACATGCTAGGGCAATACTGCATGCCAAGATGCAGATGATGAGAAGAACTGGAAGCATCAGCAACATGTGCACAGTACAGGCAGAAACATTAAGTGAGAGCGACTGGTCACTAACCAAAAAAAAGCAAGGGGGAGGAAAGGCCGGTATGTATGAACTTTAAACTGAATATAAGTTTCCAGATAAGTTTAAGTCAAACAAATAGCTAAAATTCAAAGCTTAAAATGCTGAGCCATATTTCTCCCCAAGATTCAAAAATGAAATTCAGTGTATGGATAATCAGACAGGGACAGAAAGAAAAAGTTTCATCAGAAAAAGAGAGTAATTCATTAATCAGGCTGATAAATTATTTAATTATTACATATTAATCAATAATAATATTCTGAATTGCAACACATCTGCATTCAAAGACCAGAAGAATTTGAAGATGCAATCCAGGAAAAACAGAAATGCATAACAAGGAAGAGAAGAGCCGAAGAAGCCCAACAGTCTTATGATTCTTATTGCTCTGATGTACTTTCAATATGTCTTGACCTAACACAAAGGCTAAAAGAGCTTATCTGCAGTCATAACAAGCAGAAAACATGACACATCGCTCTGCTTAAGTAACTAGAGGTAAGCATTAGATTAATATACAGTAAAGATATAATTTTCACTCTCCACAAATCAAAAAAAAAATTGGAAAGTCTTAATGTGTTAGTACAGTTCTGCCAGAAGGTTCTCAAAAGATGAAGAGATCTACACGCTGATCAGACCCTCACACTGGGAGTATGCCGTCTCCTCCAAACACTGCTTGAGCTGCATTCTGCACGATGCATGTACAGCTACAGTTTCTGATGCTGTGCAAGTGAAAAGGGTGAAATGAACCTTGGTGCAAGAAGGGCATGCCCAGTTGCAGATAAATTACCAGAGCTCCTGCCAAATCACTTCCAGACAGTGATACGGTTATTCAAACAGGCAGTTAGATCAGCATATTTCTTGCTTCTATTAGCAACTTACAGTAGCAGGTTTCAGCACCAAAAGCAGTTTTTTTTAAGGCATCAAGACAGTGCAATTGTATTGTTCTTATGTAAAATATCAGCCAAAGCCATCTAGGAATTGAAAGAAAAATCAAACAGAAGTAGTGAGAGAAAGGAGCAATGACATTGAGGAATTAATGCATTCGTCAGAGTACAGACCAAATGGATCGAAATTTCCTACCACGGTAGTGCCAGGAAAAACTACCATGACACAAAGGAGACTTGGAGGTGGTTTACACAGGCTGGAAGGAATATAGGTACAATTGTCCTGGGTTAGTATTCTCCCTTCCTTAATGGAAAATAGTGGAGTTAGACAGAAGCTTCCGGTTCACTCACTACATGTAGTGAAAAGGCTCAAAGATCCCTCAACTGGTGAGCCGTTCATTGGGCAGTTAGCAGGAAAAGTACAAGTTAGGCATGCCACAGCTATCATATTCAAACTTCACACAGCTCAAAGCTCAAATACATACTCAAACCCCATACAGCTCAACTCAGAACTCATAGAGCTATGATACTCAACCCAAAACACACGTGGAAAATGGTTTTAAGATTACAGACGTATCACAAAACAAACTACACCACACTGCTGTGACAAGAAGCTTTCCTCCCAACTAGTATGTTGCATGAAGAAGCAGGTGATGCCTTTACAGCAGGGGAGGGAAGCGGCAGAAATTTAACTGTTTCCCAAAGAAGATCCAGCCTGTGTGGCAATGAAACAGGTGAATCTCAGGACAAGGGATGACCAGAATAAAACAGTTATGACACCTCAAAACAGCAATTCACCTCTGCCATTGGACATATGCTGGTCAGCACAACAAAACAGTGCGTCTCAGAGGCTGACAGCAGGGTATTTATAAGCATTTCATATTCTGTTTTAGCTTAATTAGCTCAAATTGTTAGTGGCTATAGTTATATTTTGAGAAAAAAGCTGCATGGTCTTTACCTTTGAGTAGGTCCTTGAAAGAACAGCACAATCAGTCATGTTCTGCAGAGGCTCAGGTGTCCAAACACAGATCATCCCCAACAGATTCCTTGACTCCAAGCAATTACTGGAGAAAAGAACAGAAAGGAAAAAAACATACATGAAAAGAAAGCAAGAGAAGAGAGCATGAAGACAACCCCACATGCACAACTTGGTATTATCCATTTAGGGTTAGGGTTAGGGTTCCCAGTCCTCTATCATTCCTCCAGTCCTCTATCATTCATCATTTTTCTTGGTAGGTCAAGCAATTACATGGCATACACCAAATTATTTGTAACACAAGTTATCTTGAGAAGGACCAAAAACTGTTCATTGAGTGGGAAAGGCCTACATAGCCTCAAAGATTACACAAAACATATGAGCTGAACAGCATCTGGACAAATCCCCTCCAGTAGGTACGTTCTGTTGAGGAGAACGTTACAACTCAAATTTTATTTAGTATAAAATAGCTGGAGAAGACAGTAACTGTTGTGATGCGGCCCTGGAGCAGCCAGAAGTGGATGCTCTTCTTCCCTTTCCTTAAAAAGGGAACTCTAAAGACACAAGCAAAAATCCCCATACCAAAAGAGTTTTAAAATGTTAATATCTTAACAAATTGAAATAAAGGCATTTGAAAAGAGATCTCCCTTGCCATCACTTCTCCTCAGGGCATGCCTGTATTCTAGGCCTGCTTTCAGTGATTTATGCTGCAACAAATTCCAACATAGGCAATGTAAAGTTTAGGAAAGTTATTTCTTCCCACTTTCTCTGGATTTGACTGAAGCCCTGTTCCTTGAGGAACCCTCTCCTGCTGTAGGCCTCTGTCTTAAAAATACAAGGGCACCACGGCACGAAATAATTTTCTCTCAAAACAGCTTCCAGACTGTTCCAGCTGCTCTAGGCTCAAATGCTCTCCGAAGGAGGAGTTTTCCTCCACCCATTAGGCAATTCCTGGCCCAGCACGCTGCCACAAGACACTAGGAAGCAGATTTCTCTGCTGCCCCATGATGCTTTTCACAGAACACAACGTATAGTTCATGGTAAACAAACTATAGGTAAAGAGATATCATCTGTCATACTTTTATTTTCCAAATCTGGGAAATAACTACATTGTCTAAAACATCAGGATCCTGCCAATGAATAGTTAAGCTTTTAAAAAAGTAGAATTGTATGTAAGTAGAATGTTGTAAGGAAATTTCTCAGAGAATATGGATGACAAAGTGACTCCAAAATACATAGACTCAAACCCTGTTTGGTCAATGTCCTGTATGCAAAGCTTTCATCAATAAATACAATCATATTTTCTGAGTTAATATAATGCAGCTAGGACCTATTGCAGAAGACCTCCATCCTTACAGTCTAAATCATGACTTATTCAGTTACTTTTAACAGTAAAAGTTATTGTAAGCTTAATACTAGAATAAATAAATTGTCAATGTATTCCAGATACTACCTCAGATCACCACTCATTCAAATGGTTGTTCTCTGGAGCAGTAAGCAACAACAGGGGGAGGCAACAACAACAACAGAATGCTCTAATCATTTTTGCCAGAGCATCACCTGCTGTCTCCAGGAGGACTAGTAGAGTCCATTGCGGCACAGTGGACCAAAAGCAAAATATTTTATAAATATTTGAGCATCAAAAGTGATCTAAGTTAAAATAGACCTACACACTTAAATGTAGTAATCTAGCTGGTAAGCTTACAGTGCTGCTAGTACTGTTTTTTTTTCCCCGAAAACAACAGTTTTCCTTCATGCCAAAGCATCAGAATTATTTCACTATACACTATTTCATCTGAAATGACAGTCCTATGCTTAAAAAAAGGCTAAAAAAACCTTCTGTATTATTTGACTTTCAAATAGTTACTGGATTTTAGTTATAGTTTCAGAAATATTCTGTTTAAAATTTGAAGGCAGAAAGGTTTGGTAGCACTTTTTTCTTCTCCTTTTTGTGTGACTGAGTATTGCACCTTGTTTCAAAGGGTGGGGGTGGAATGAATCTAGAAAGCAAAGAAACATTTCCTGGAAGGGGGTGCACAGGCTGACTTCAGCTGGAAAATAAATTTTCTGCTTGCATTATACCTGGTCTCTATCGGAACACACCTGAAACCTGTCAGAGAGAGCACACCCATCCAAAGTAGCTAATAGCCCAGCAGGCAAGATGCTTACCAAGGATGTGAAAAACAGGCTAGAGTCCATATCTGCCAGGTAACTCCCTTCTCCCTTTCACTCAGGATAGTGAGTGAAAAACTATCCTAGCCAGGACCCCTCCAGATTTTATTGCCTACCTCCTCTTTTTTCAGAGTGAATTCATTTCCATCCACAGCTCCTCAGCCAAGAATGTGGAAGTATATACCCCTAGTTTCAAGTGAAGTGGGTGACTGCCCTATATCCTGGGCCTCATTCAGCTCAGTACTGAAAAACCTGCTTCAAGTTACACACGTGCTGTGGTATTTTGCTCAAATGGCATGGTTTGCTGAAACCGGGGCCTGTGCAACTGCAAATAGATTGTTATATTAAGGCCCAATCCTGCTCTCCCACAAATCTGCAAGAACTCTGCCAATAACTTCAACAGGAGCAAGAATAACACCTCTGTGAATAAATCAGGGAAGAAAATCAATTGTGTTCTAAGTTGAATCCATAGGCTCTTTTGTATTTTATATGACCCTCTTTGCAGAAACTGCAACAAAGTTACCGAGAGTTTGAAACCCCAGTGAACAAGTCCCTCTAGGCTCACTAAGAAAAGCTCACATATTCACTGCCACTCACTTGTTAGTCTCAGGAAAGAAAAAACGCCAGAATGCTGCCAATGGTTATCTATTTATATTTGGAAATTCAATAGTTTTATTTGAACGCAAGACCATTTGGGAGAAAGTTTGCAAGCTCAGAATGCAGAAGTTTTTTCTGTTAAGCAGGGAGAAACATTTAATTTCTCTTCCCACTTACTCATATTTCTTCTTTTGATTTACTTTAATTAAGCTCTCTCTAGGCTCACAAGTCTGAAGAGAAGGGCGTTTCTCTCTCCGCTGTTTTGTAGTAGGAATAGAAATTGTTCTCCAGGCAGGATTTTCCAAATGCTCACAGCTTTGCTCTTTACTCAAATAAAAAGCCTTTGAAAGACAGCAGTGTAGGATGGTTCACTGCAGTTCTGAGATTTTTCTGTTCTAACATCATTCCTACAGTGCTCCAATTTGGAGGGTTTTTCAGGTAAAACTTCAGTTGCTATTTTCAGCCAGTCATAGATGTCAAGATAAGGGAGCGCACTTTGGAGCTTGATACTACAGTCACGCTCATCATCAAGGATGTGTGTGTGTGGGGGGGGTCATCTCATTCTCACTTTGTTGTTAACACAGATTGTCACAGCATCCGCTGAATTTCTCTTTATACATATTCTTAAATTCCTGGGCAAGATCTTGTTTCGCTGGTTAACTTTTAATGTCACATTCTCTCCTTTTAAATTTATTTTTAAGCTTATGTTGTTCAAAGAGCATTTTCAGTGCTATGAAATGGAAGCTAAATAGGTGTTGCTTTGTAAAGTGATCTGTTTCCTAAAACAGTTTCCAGTGGGTATTATAAAGCCTCAGCAAGCAAACTCTCACGGAGCATAACTAGGTAATGCATCAACAAAGACGCATAAAAACAAGAGGCAGCTGGGCTATTATTAAGAAATGAAGCAGAGGCCTTTGATATTATAGGGTGAGAGTTAGAGGAAAAAGCAGTTTGGTTAAAGAAAAGAACATTAGCATCTGCGTCTAAAATGGAAAGCAAGCATAACCATTGAAAACAAAACAAAACTTTCTCTTTGTACAGCAATGTCGTCTTCTCTCTCCCAGCTGCACCCAGAAGCACAGGACAAAGTCCATGACTGAAGTGCACTTCAAACAGAAGTTTTCAGACATGGTTCCACCTTCACTGAAATGAAGAGGAGTTTTGGGGTCTGGGCACCTCTGAAAAGAGGCTGTGTGAACTCTAAAGCTATGTTGATATCCACATGGGGGCACAGTTGTACTTGCATGAAGTCCCATTGAACTGAATGGTGCAATCGCCCTCCCTCAAATCATAAAAACAACGGCAGAGCCTTACTTTGTTGCCTTAATGCAGCATTTGGCACCCACCTTTGTCTTATTTTATCATTTCTGACCAAGTTCTTATTCCCACCATTAGCAAGCTTTGCTTTTCCTCTAAGCTATCAACAGTATAACGCAATATAGTGGAAAACCATACTAGCTACTACTAGAGACTAGCTACTTCAATTTCTTTTTTCAATGTATTAAAAGAAAAAACAGTGATATTAGAAGTGAAGTTTACCAGTCTCCAATAGAGATATTTTTTGCTGTGCCATATAGCAAAGGATGTGAATGACAATGGCAGATCTATAACCACTGAATATAAGAATTTTTCGTTTAATAGTCATTCAACTGTAACATTCATTTGACTTGAAATGTGCAAACGTGTTTGAAGTTTGTACAATCACTTTGTGCTCAGAACAGTGAATTCATGCCTGGGCACTTTAGTACTAAAAAACCAAGCAAGCTCATTGGAAAGAATTACCACGCAGATCCAATACCTAACTCTATAAATAATTTCGCCATCTCAGTGTATTTCACATCCAAGTCAAGTGAAGACAATACAAATACAGACAGAAAGCAACAGGAGACGCAGATAGAAAGAGCTTAGTATTTTACAGAAGCAAAAATATAAATAATTAGTATTTATATTGGAGTCTGGGCTGATTTTGTCCTAGCATAACCAAAAGCAAAGTTTCATCCTCAGCCTACCAACTATGGCAACATCATGACCATTTAGGGTTCCTCAAAACCCACTGGTAGAAGCACTTCCTGAAATCCAGCAGCCAGACATCCTCCCTATCCTTAGCCCACAGCACAAGCACCATCACAAAAAGCACCTGCTCTCTGCTTCTCAGCCTCTCATTCGGAGATAACAACAAAGGTTGTTTCATGCTTAGTGAAGGCTCCCATGTTCACATACAATCAGTGCGACACACTCGCCTCTCATCTAGCATCTGACATTAGGCCAGAGCAGAGCAAGTCCCTCAGTCCCTGACTGACGTGACCTGTCACATTGAAA